TAAGGAGGTCTTGATGAAAAGTGTAGCCCAGTCATGCCTACTTTTTCAATGAGCATTTTCCTATTACCTGACACAGTTTGCACATCAATCCAGAGAACTATGAATAGATATTGGTGGGGTACTGGTGTGGATAGGGGATACACTGGAAAACATGTGATAAGTTGTGTGTCCCTAAGAAATTTGGGGGTTTGGGATTTAAGGATCTCAGGGGATTTAATTTGGCTATGCGAGGAAAGCAGGAATGACGTTTTTCACAAACCCAGCCTCCCTTGTTGCAAAGGTTTATAAAGCACGTTATTTTCCAACTACATCTTTTGTGGATGCCAAGGTAAGAAATTGCCCAAGTTATGCATGGAGAAGTATTATGGCTGCTCATGATATGGTAGTAGCAGGAGCCCGCAGAAAGATTGGAAATGGTGAAACAACATTGATATGGGGATACTCATGGTTACCAGATGATCCTAGCCCCCTGATACAGACTAATATGCCTGAGGAACTGAGAGATGCCCAGGTGGCAGGTTTGATTGATCCACAGACTAATACTTGGGACCCCCATATTTTGATAGATTTATTTGATGAGGAGGATGTCACTAGAATTAGTAGGATTCCAGTAAGCCTGGGTATGAGGACTAATGGTATTGGCTGGGTGACCCAGGGGAATTTATACGGTTAAAAATGCTTACAGAAATATTATGGGGACTTATATGCATACGGCTGGTGATTTTAATAAATGGACTGTTATGTGGAAGATGAAGATTCCCCAAAAATTGAAAACTTTTCTGTGGAGAGCAATTTGTGATATCCTCCCTACAACTAATAATTTGATTAAGAGAGTTGAGGTGGAACCAACATCCCGAATGTGTGGTTTGGTTAACGAAGATGGTATGCATGCTTTAGTTACTTGTGAATATTTTAGACTTGTTTGGAATGTTTCAGGCTTACATATAACGAATATCATTACCGATTTATTCTCAGCATGGCTAACTGGTGCACTTGCAATATTAACAGAGGAACAGAGTGCTCTTATGGTGACAATCATGTATCAGCTATGGCGGTGCCGCAACTCCGCAGTGTGGGATGGCGCTCTCCCTCCACCCGCCAGCGCATGGAGGATGGCGGCCACGGCATTGAGTGCGTACCAGAGAGCCAACCACCGCCCGCTAGGACAGGCCGAGATCCTGCCGGCATCTCCGAATGGTGGTCACGCCAGGCCCAAGTTCTATGTGGATGCAGGGTTCCGACACGCTACCTGGGAGGTTACCTTCGGTATTGTCCTTCTCTCGTCGGACGACCAGTTTATGGTGGCTCGAAACGGAAAGTTACCACCTTGTTTTTCGCCACTCATGACGGAGACTCTAGCCTGTAAGGAAGCTCTATCTTGGTTGTTGGAGAAAGGTGTAACATCGGTGGACCTGCTCACGGATTGTATGGACCTACGAAATATTCTACGCCCGGTGTCAGCAAATATTCTATCCTATGTTGGTGTTATGGTCGATCAGTGTAGGGAGGCCATGGCATCGTTTGATTATTGCACTTTACATTATGTTTCTAGAGTTTTAAATTCTCATGCTCATATCCTAGCTTCTTTAGCATTTGATCAGGACCAATTTATGTATTGGGATTCAATCCCTCCTGACTCTATTGCAGCTTTGATTCATTAATACAATCATTGTTTGGTTGGCTTTCAAAAGTTCAGTATTAGTATACAAAATTTATATATTTAAAAACTACACTAAAAGTACTATATATTAAACACACAAAAATCAAATTAAAAAATAAGTTAAAAATACTAAAGAAAATAAACAAAGAAAAAAGAGTTAATTTAACCAATGAATAATTAAGACAGATAAAATGGGACAGAGGGAGTAAGACATAGCATCAAATACTGATAAGAAACACGACAACAGAATTCCACTCCAAACTCATTAAAACGAATCCTGAAAAAATAAATTAATTAGGAAGTCTATAGTGTTGGGCAAAGCCCTTGCTTCTCGAAAATGTGGTGGTAGTATATAAAAAAATAAAGTTTTGAGTTCGCGTTGTGAGTTATAATTTTTGACTTAGTGGTAGTATTAGAGTTAGGTTACAAGTACGAGTCTCAACTAGAATAAAAACTATGCACTTAAAGTTGGCAGGAGGGGGAATTGTTGGGCACTGAAGATATAAAGTTTGAACAAAAACAGATGATAAAGTTACCTTCTTTGGTGAAATATGAGCTTGTTTAGTCTGAACTTGGTGGTACAGTTGATACGAAAGCTTCTCACAGACCTGACATTTGATGTATGGAATGTCCTCTTTCCTTGCTGCTTCTTTCTTTGCACACTCTGAGATTGGTAGCCATCGAGATATCACTGCAACAGATAACAATACAAACCATACCACATTACCAAACTTCAACATCCTATCCTATCCTATCCTATCTTGCAATAAATTAAAATCTCTCCTTTAATTTGCTCGCTCTCTAGCGTTTTCTGGGTAAGGTAATAATGACATGGTTTCAATTATAGTACACAATACGGTCAGTGTTGGTGATCTCTCTCGCGTGATTTCTGAAAGCATGTAAGGCGTTGGTTGTTGGTACAACGCAACAAACGTCAGTACTACGTCGTATACTGGTTGGTTCTGTATTTTGTTTTTGGTATTGTAAACGGGTGCCTATCGCCCTGTTTGGTAACAATCGTTATACCGTGCACATGACCAAAACAACGTCGTTTTAATTGTTCAGATTTTATGTGTATTATGTTAAGAGTTGATGTGTATTATTTATTATATTAAATTATGTATATTCTGTTATGAGTTTATGTGTTTTCTATTATGAATTTATGTACATTCGAAACAGAGAAATATTTTTTATTTTTTTGAATTTAACCGTATAAACGGAAACAGGATTTCTAAAAAAAAAAAAAAAAAAAAAAAAAACGTCGTTTTAGTCCGGGCGCACAATGCATTCTGCGCCCTGGTGCACGGTATAATTTGCCGTTTGGTAAATGGTTGGTAGCTGATAATTAAAGGGTATAACTAGTTGATAACATTAGCTAATTGTACAAAAGTGTTTGGTAAATTAGTTGTTAATTATTTAGTATAATTTCTTTTCTCAAAAAGTTAATTGAAAAAGTTGTTTTGACCAGCTTTTTGAATTTTAGAATTACAAAAAACTAATTAACTAAATACTTATATTAATTTTTTTAATGAAGTCAAACAATTAATAGTGATAAAATAAGTCAAAATTAATTGATAGATTAATTATTTTACTAAACAGGGCCTAAGACTTTTCCAGTTTCTGATTGGTCAAGGATAATCGACGTGTCTAAGGGTGGAAATAGGCCGAGCCGAGCTTTGAAAAATTAGGCCTGGGCCTGTTACGAAAATCTAAAGCCTGGGCCTAGGCCTGAGCTTGTATGTAGGCTTTTTGTTAGGCTCAAGCCCGAGCCTGCAATTAGCTTGGCCTGGCCTGAAGCCTTTTTAAAAGCCTGTTTAATATTTAGGTCATTAAAAATGGGCAAATTATGCTATGCGCACGGCGCTAAAACGGCGTCGTTTTCACTGAAAACGACGCCGTTTTAACTATAAAAAAAAATTGTTCGAAATGCCGTTAACGGCATATTCGTTATGAAATTATGAATATACAGTTATGACATTATGAATGTACAGTTATAGAATTATGAATGTACATTTATGGAATTATGAACTTACAATTATGAACATAGAGCTTCGAAAATTATGAATGTTCGGTATGGAATTATGAATGTACAGTTATGAAATTATGAATGTACAGTTATGAAATTATGAACATAGAACTCTGACATTATGAACTTACAATTATGAACATAGAGCTTCGAAAATTATGAATTTACAGTTATTGAATTATGAATGTACAATTACGGAATTATGAATGTACAGTTATGAAATTATGAATGTACAGTTATGAAATTATGAACACAAAGCTGTGAATATATGCTCCTATAACGAAGCGGTCTGAAAATAAATTTAAAAAAAAAAAAAAAAAAAAAAAAAAAAAAAAAAAAAAGAGAAAGATAACGGTGCCTGACGGCACCGTTACCGTGCCCATAATGCACGCTGGGCACGATTCCACAGCATAACGTCTCTTAAAAATGCTTCAAAGTATGTCATACCTTAGCCTATTAAAGCCTACATGTTAAGACTTTTTAAAAACTTTAGTATATCTAAATAATATATACTTGGGGTTATATTCTAAATATACAAATATTAGGTATAAAATATAATATATATATATATATATATATATATATATATATATATATATAGGCCAGGCCTGTAGGCCTGAAGACCGAGCCTGGTATATATAGGTCTGGCCTGTTTAGTTTAATAGGCTTTGAAATTGGCTCAAGCCTGGCCTTTTTACTAAACGAGCTAGGCCTAACTAGGCTTTAATTAGGCCAGGACATAGGCCCCTACAAGGGGTCTGGCCTATTCCCACCACTAGACGTGTCAGAGACCACACCGTGTTCAACCAATAGGAAACAAGGAATACTTCACTTGCCCAGATTACCAGAAGACTTGGCCATGACTTGCCACTTATTGCTTGACATTTAGGGTGCATTCAATCTTTGTATAGATTTTATACTTTTAAATTGTACTTAAAAATATATTGATCTTCGATTCAAACTTTTAAATAATTTTTAGAAGAAGGTAAGTATTTGATCCATATTCAAACTTTTAAATAATTCTTAGAAGAAGGTAAGTATTTGATCCATATTCAAACTTTTAAATAATTTTTAGAAGAAGGTAAGTATTTGATCCAGATTTAAACTTTTAAATAATTTTTAGAAGATGGTAAGTATTTGATCCAAACTCTTCATTGAGTTGGTGTCAATATTCATGAATTCATACCTAAAAAAAAATCACTATTTCATTGAATTATATTCTGCAATTTACCTGCTTTCACACTATCCACATATACGGAAAAAACCAAAAAATTAAATTAAATAATTTAACAAGAAAAGAGTAGAGAAAACCAATAAAACGAATCAAATATTGATGATATACTTGCAAATCTGGACAAGAAGGCAGTGTAGAGAACAGAGGCTTCACTGTAAAGTAATTAGCAGAAACCCAATAATCACGAGTATATCACAGCATGAATCAACCTGATGATACATTTGTCATATCCAGAGAAATAGATACATCAATAGCTATAGCCTATGGGTGTATATAATTTACATTTTAGTTCTGCAGATAAAACTGTGTTTGCAATATCTCACTTCATAATCTCCAACTGCCCATTTTACCAGTAGTCATTACAAGAGCATTTACCATCTCTGAAATGATGGAACCTCTTGTTGTCCCTAACAATCAGCTCTCTCCCAACAATCTTCGACATGACCTTTATAGCATTGTGGCAATCACCACATATCCTAAGGTTCTTGATGACCCTAAGAGTTGTTCTTGCTGGAGTGCTGATTAAACCATAGGCGATCGCCAAGCGTTCGCTGTGATACATTAGCGCCCGCTCCTTGGCTTCCTCGTCAATGTCGTGGAGCACATATCTTGTGTCCGGTACGTAACCTGCATCCCTTAGTTGCCCACTCAGGCCTTTCAATTTGTCGTATGCTTCTTCCCTGTATGGACTGGGATTCTTGAAATCGCCCACTCTTTCCTTTCCCTCTAGCATATTGAAGTCGGAGCGCCTCTTTTGCAATGGCACGGGAATCTTATCGGTCGTAGTTCTTGAGCCATCAAATCGTAATAAAAGCTCCTCAGCTCTATCTTCAAGCTCCATGTCTCCATGTATTCTTGCAAAATTCAGCATTGCCTCCCACACTTCAATGGTGGGTTCAACAGGCATGTTTTCTACAAACTCAATAGCTTCATTCAGATGCCCAGATTTCCCCAAGATATCTATAACCCTCAAATAATGCTCAATTCCTGGAACAATGGCGTACTCATTCTTCATCAAATCAAAGTACAACAATCCTTCCTCCACAGCTCCTTCACTAGCACAAGCAGAAAAAACTGCTGAGAATGTATCCCCAGTGGGTTTGGGTTTGGGTTTGCCTTCCTCAAGTTTCCTCATTTGCTCAAAAAGGAGCAGACCGGTTTCCCCTTCCCCATTTTCTGCATACCCATTTATCATCAGATTCCAAAGCTCCAACTTCCTTTCGCGCATTTTATCGAACACCTTGCGCGCACTTCTCACTTCTCCACCCTTCACATACATTTCAACCAGCTTCCCACTCAATTCAAGATTTTGGCTATAATCAGACCGCGACAGGAGCTCATGAACCCTTTTCCCAAGCTCAAAAGATCCAGACTCGACACAATAGTTCAATAGCACCTCAAAAACACGAAAACTGGCAGTAAAACCTCGTGAAATATACTCAATTGCTTCTTCAATCTTGCCTTCATTGCACAGACCTATAAAGTCGATTCTGTCTTGTTGAATAGTGTTGGTGGGCTTTCGGTAGGTGTCTTTGTAGGTTCTGGGTTGAGTGGTGGTACGGCGCGAGTGGGCGGTTCTGGCGGATGTGGTGCCGTTAGGCGTTGCGGAAGTGCAGAGGGGCTTAAAAGAAAGTTGAGATGGATAGTGGGTATGGGATGGGGATGGTAGGGTGAGGCTGAGGGAGGAGTTTCCAGCTCTGTGGATAGAGAAAGACGCCATTAGAAACTAACTACAGAGCAGCAAGCAACACAAATATGAAATATCTCAACACAGTTTCTAACGGCGCCGTTTTTAATAGATTTCTTTTTTTGGTGTAAACCACACTTTCTCTTGTTTGTTTAACAATTCAGGTACACCAGACTAATCATCCAATAGTTATGCTGTGCAACCGAATGCACCATGCATGGTGCATACGATGCAAAACGACGTCGTTTTGACTAAAAACGCTCGTCCCACTTAAAAAAAAAAAAAATCAAGTTCGATTCTCGGTAATAGCATTATTGTGGATATATAGTTATGAATTTCTAGATATATAGTTATGAATTTATGGATATTTAGTTCAATCATTGTGGATATTTAGTTCAATCATTGTGGATATTTAGTTCATTCATTGTAGATATTTATTTCATTCATTCACTGTGGATATATAGTTATGAATTTCTGTATATATAGTTATGAATTTATGGATATTTAGTTCATTCATTGTGGATATTTAATTCAATCATTGTGGATATTTAGTTCATTCATTGTGGATTTTTACTTGATTCATTCACTGTGGATATATAGTTTGAATTTATGGATATATAGTTATGAATTTATAGATATATAAAAATGCTATAGCTGGAATCGAACCTGTTTTCTTTCTTAAGTGGGACGCGCGTTTTTTAAACCAAAACGACATCGTTTTTGCATCCGTATGCACCATGCATGGTGCATACGGATGCATAGCATAATTTGCCCTAATCATCGTTCGCTCCGAAAAAAAAATACGAAAACTGACCTAAAGAGAATCGTCACTTGTAAAAATTAAATCTGAATTATCACATAATTTTCACAACTTACGAAAAGAACTTATTTTTCACTTGAACTACCTTTTTGGTTAGCCTTTTTAATAGATGTCAATGGATTAGGGTAGATTGGAGTGACTGACTACATTCACCACTCCAGCTCTCATTATACTCTTTTTACTCACCCATACCTAACTCATGGTGGGTGGACACTTTCCAATATATATATATATATATATATATATATATATATATATATATATATATATTACTTTCACTCTTAAATTTTATTCTCAACTTCTAGTCTTTTACAACTTTACTCAAAATTTTGAATTAGACATTTTTTAGCCTCATAGAATAAAAAATAAGTTATTACTGTTTAAAATTGTTATACTATAGTCCAGGATTTACCTTGCATTGTGAACTTTAGTCCAAAAATTATGTATTTATCATTAACATATTATATGTCCAAAAATTATGTTTGAAGATGTTTTTTTTTTTAATAATATCTCTAATTTCTTGAAAGAACAAACATCTAATATAATTATGCCACACATTGTAAATTCCTTTTTATTATTGTAGTGTAAACGAGGCCAAAAGAATGCTCGTGAGGCTCTCGAAGTTTCCCCGAGTCCAAGCCAAAGAAAGCATGTAAATTCAATACAAGCTTAACGGGATGAAAGAAGGTGGATCTTCATCTTCTTTCAATATATCTTCTCACACATTATTGTCTTCTAGCAAAAGATATTCTTTATGCATGTTTTATTGAATTGTATCTTTGTGTTAAGTAAAACTTATATTTTAGTAGGTTTATAAATACCCTACCAATTCTGATGAAATAATTAATTATATTATTGAATGGTCTATCAAATAAACTTGTAGATTTCATTACTTATTTAGCAATTATACAGTGAACCATGGTCCACAATGCGTTATGGACCATGGTCCTAATACACCGCCGTTTCATTAACTAAGATGAAACGGTGGCCGTTTCCTCCATCCATTGACATGAATGAGATGTGCAACCCTTGTTTTTAATATAAAAATTAAAAAGAAAGTTTTGTCTCCACTATCTTCTCAAGCAAGCTAAACATTCTTACGGTCTCAGAGCTAACATTTTCACCACTCTAGTTTCCAGCAGTGTTCTCTTCATTTTCAGCAGCTTTCGAACACCATTGCACGAGCATAAACTTCAACAAAGGTAATAACATTGTTATATATTAAGCAATGTTCTATTTACCTGTAAAAATATATATATATATTCTACAGTACCTATTCATTTTAGGATTTACAGCCTTTCCGAAACATGTAGTCATGTTTTCAACCAAAAACATGCAATGAGAAGCATATTCCGAAACATATGATATTATTGTAACACCTGAACAAAAATCACATGTGTATCTTTTCAAATGAAAGTGTGTCATACTTAAAATGATACTAAGGTTTCTAACTAATGAAACTACAGGGTATATAAAATGAAACTGAATAGGTGATATCACATGTAACTACCTATAATGATCAAAGAAACTGTAGAGTCACCTGAGTGAAAATGTAGTGTAATCAGAATGATATTGTAGTGTTTGGCAAATGAAACTACATGGTGTGTATGTATAATAATACAGAGTATGTGGTTTCAAATATTCTTACGTGTAATTCCAAGTGAAACTATAGTGTAGTTAAAATGAAACTGTAGTGTTTTTCAAATGAAACTGTCAGGTGTATAAAATGAAACTGAGTAGGTGGTGTCACATTATGTGCTATAAAATGTTCAATTAAACTGTAGAGTAATTGAAATGATATTGTAGTGTTTTTCAAATGAAACTACTGGGTGTATAGAATGAAACTAAGTAGGTGGTGTCAAATATTCTTTAGGTGTAATTACAAGTGAAACTGTAGTGTAATCAGAATGATACTGTAGTGTTTGGCAAAAGAAACTGCAGGATGTAAAAATGAGACTAAGTAGGTGGTGTCACAATATTCTTATGTGTAATTCCAATTGAAAGTGTAGTGTATGAAATAAATGAAACTAAGTAGGTGGTGTCACAATATTCTTATGTATGCCACAACTTCATTTAAGCACTACTATGCTAACACTTGAAGTACAACACAATTTCATTATGTGGTATTAAAAAAACACATTAAGTTAAAATATATGTATCATTTTGTGTACGTCACAATTTCATTTCGCATATACTGTAGTTTCATTTGAATTACACCTCACTTTCATTATATATAAAAATGACTTTTAACAATAGTTTCATTTTAAATACATTATAGTTTTTTTTTAACAATACCACAGTTTCATTTAATCCTAACTACAAAATCATTCCCATAATGCATAAAAATTGTTAGACATACCAATAAAAATCCAATACAATATCTGAATTCACACTACCATTTCCTCATATAAAAAAAAAATCACACTACCATTAGAATTGTCATTTCAATTAGATCTAAACTGAACCAAATTTGGACTACTACCACAAAAGGGATGAACAAAATAACCACTGTCCACCATATTAGAAATAGATTTTTACATCCTCCCAAATGTTCTGTCGATCTGGGGTGTGGG